ATGTGTAGAAGTATTGTTACAATGCACGCATCTTTATGTCGACCACAACGGGGACTTCGAATAATTTCTGTAGTGGAAAGTAAGAAGATTACATTTAGGAGCTTCAATAGATAGAAAACGCGTCGCTTGGCAGCGGGATAAGGGAGGAAAAGTGTAGAATGTGCACAAATAATTATGTATTATCAACCAGGCATAGACCGTCAACTCACGTCAACTCACCTTAGATTGACAACAGAGATAATAATAATAATAATAATAATAATAATAATAATAATAATAATAATAATAATAATAATAATAATAATAATAATAATAATAATAATAATAATAATAATAATAATAATAATAATATTTCAAAGATAAAGGTTAATTGACAAGCAATTTTGACTTTATTTTAATTTCAAAATTATTATTTGAAAATTGTTTTAATTTGTCAAGGGATAAAAAAACCTGTATATCAGTTTTTTGAAATACCATCAGTAAGTTTATAAGGAAACATTACAGTGTAATGATTACACCAAAGAACTTTCAATCAACTGATTTTACATTGCAAAATGCAGTAATTTTATAGGTAAAAATGCATTACTGATGACCAAATTAACATCATTACAGTTTACGTTTTCTGCTCCAAGGCCAGTAATACTGATTAGTTCATAAATTTACCCAGTGTTTTAACAAACTGTTCTCTTTACTACTAAGAACATTTTATTATAAAATAAAATAATATAGGTAATATAAAATATTATAAAATAAAATATTAAAATACAATTACAATATAATATTCTTATTTACTACATTGGTTTGACACTTGACAGATGCACAAAATAATAATACTAAAGTTCATTTTTTTTAATCTGGACTGCGCAAGGTTGCAAATTTAGGGGTATGGTTGGTAAATACGGAACCAAAATTGGTTGTATTGATTAAAACAAACTAAACTAGTTATAAATGGACGCCTTTCTGCAGAAAGGAACCAACCCACAAAACCAAAAAAATCTAGATATTTAGCCTATGAACTAATTAAGTATGTAGGTATAATTTAACTGCAAAATAGGTCATAGCCAAAATGCAAGTGTAGTGAAATCTATTAATCATTGAACCAACCAACATTCAATAATAGTGTGGATTACTAATCCAGAATTAGAATCTGTAGAATATCTGCAAGTGGGTTGGATCTTTTTTGTAAAAAAGCCGGCTGGTAGACCCACTAACAAAGTCTTTAAAGATTTCCTGCTTCTGCAAAATATAAAGTCTTGATGCATTTTTTTGGTAATTACAAGATGAGGTGGGGTTGGAAGATGATGTGGACGAATTTCAAATAGAATCAAAATTCATTCATATTACCATTATAATAGTAATATCAGTTGTATTTTGTTTGGAAATAAATAATTGTCGCTTTTTTTTAAATACATACATACATCAGATAGTAGTTTTCATAAATTGCAGAAAGGAACCAACCAACAAAAGCCCATTTTTTTCGTCACCCTTACACATAACATCACAAAATCCACCTGATGAAATTATTAAATTATATCCCTTAAACCTCCGTAAGTCCAAAAACGGCATAAAAATAACCGGTTATTTTAAAATTATCAAAATCTTTGATAGCTTTTTTCTCAGTTTCATCATGGTGTGGGTTGGTCCCATTCACAGAAAGCCGTCCAAATGTAATTATAATGTAATTGTGGTTATGTTTTAATTATTGTAGGTTACATTGAACGGTTGTCAAGTTAAGTTGTCAAAATTCGTAGTTAAAAATGCAATTAATTTGGCTTTGGTGGTGCGTGGATGAGTAAAATCATATAAAAAACTTGTTAAATATAGGTGATTACGGCCCAGGAGAGACAAAGTATTCCTAGCGGATAATAATCTTTGCTTTGAAAAGAATTTATGTAAAAGAAATTAAAATTTTATGTGAACACACGTGAATGTTGTCCAATCATTGGACTCCAATGGTGAATGGGTATTTTGTTACAGCCACTGGAAGTTAATACTTGTAATGTATATATTGTCCAGGACTATTAAAAGAAAAAGTTTCGTGATTATTGCTTATCTTTTTAAAACCAAATGGATGCTATTTTCGAAGACAAATTAACTACTAGATTTTTCACACAAAGGTTGAACCTAACAGCAAATAATTTTTATGTTTTGTTTTTTTTTATTTTCCCCTTATTTTTTTTAAATTTCTAAAGTTTTTGATCTGCTTAGCTGAAAATAATATGTGATTTAATATTAGTAAAACCAAAAACGTTTGTTTTTTACTCCAAAAATGTCCATAAGGCAATGTACTTTTTCTGTCATTAAGTTATTTGGCATAACTTCACCGAAATGAAGTTTTGCCCTTAAAAGTTCTTTTACCTTAGAATCTGATATTATTTTTGGCATAGTTATCTTTTTAAATCGATATTATATTATATATTATATTATATTATATTATATTATATTATATTATATTATATTATATTATATTATATTATATTATATTATATTATATTATATTATATTATATTATATTATATTATATTATATTATATTATATTATATTATATTATATTATATTATATTATATTATATTATATTATATTATATTATATAAATATTACTGTCAATTTGACAGTGTCAGAGTATTTAATAATTACTTATTAAGGTCTTCAGCAGAAGTACCATTTTTTAAATAGGTACTTAAAAAACTAAATCAAACTGGCATAAGCTATTAACTTAATAAAAAAACACGTGTCCAAATAAAAAAAAATGAACTGTACTAAGAAGATTTTATTATAATATGGATAACGTTTATAAAAAAGGAACAAAGCGCCAAAAACTTTTTCTTACTACCTCGGCTGAAAATACGTTGTTTCGTCCCCGATTCCACCTCCACCGCCCTCTATAATATTATTATTAATAAAATATAATTATTATATGATATATATTATAATATATTATTATAATATAAAATTATTATGAAAACTATAATACTATTATAATAGTAGATCGCAATTTAGACCAATCTTTTAGCTTATTGTTCAGCATTAATATTATAAAGTTTCTCTTCCTTTATATGTATGTCATACTTTTCACATACGTTTTTTTTAAACGAAACGCGCTTTTTTAGCTTTATTACGGCTAAAAATTGTTATTTATTGGCAGGTCTATATAAAATAGAATCTGTCCGGGCCGGATCCGGGCCGGACCGAACCAAAAAAATTTGGCCCGTGCAGGGCTCTAGACCTTATAAAACTGGACGCAGAATGTGTGAAATCATCGCGTTTGTTTGTCTTAGATAAAAGGAAATAAAAATGTGTTATCTGAATACTTGTATTGTTATAAATTATTAAAATATAAATCCATACTTACAAAATTGTATGTAATATTAAAAAAATATATGCGAAATTGCAAGGGAGAAAAATAAAATCGCATTTAAGCTGTATTTTTTACCACAACTATGCACCTTTTAACAATTCTATCTTGGTTTTGTTAAAAAACGACTTAAAAAAATACAAAACACCAAACAACTGTCAAAACACATCTTAAGGGCCACAAATTGTTTTTGATTATACGTCCAGTATTATTTGGTCTATAATTGACATCTAATAATAATAGTATATTACACTACAAGGGCAGAAAGTGTGAGATTCCTGCACTGTGCGCCATGGCATCATGGCGCGCAGTTCATGGCTCTCACACTTTCTGCCCGTGTAGTGTATACTATTTTTCTTACTACCTCGGCCGAAAATACAACCCGGCCGAAAATACGGGAAAAAATTAAATGTGTATTTATGTACCTATCTCCATTTGAAGAGCTTGATAAATAAATAACAGTAGGCCGTGAATTCAGAAGTGCCAATACAGTAAAAATAAAAGGTTGTATTTTAATTAACAAATTACTACTTTATAACAAATAAAAGTACCATTAAACGCTTAAAACAACATAAAAAGTAAAAAAGTAAAAACATAAATTGTTTATTTGTTGTTATAATTGCAAAATTATGGTTTAAAACTGTCATATTTTTGTGTTTCTCATGTTGGCAGTACGAAATTTGAATGTTAAGCACACGACTAAAAAATTTTTACTCCCGCTATTAGAGTGTGCGCGTATAGCTTGACCAATGCATAAAACGTAAACTTTCTGCCGTGGAATCGGGGACGAAACAACGTATTTTGAGTCGAGGTAGTAAGAAAAATTATTTTTAAAATTTTTCGTCTAGCAGATTTCAAAACCATTACAGTATATCCTATACTTAGCGCCCCATTTCAATTAAAAATCCATTTCAAAGTTGTAAAAAAACTAGTTGAAGAAACTAATTTAAATTGCGAAATTGCAAAAATAAATTAGAAGCTCCGCTAATAATAAGTTTTATTAAAGACTAACCCGACATAATATTTTTTTAATAAACTTTTTAAGTGCCTTCATTTCTTAACGTAGTGGAAAATAGCCTCGGTGCAAAATTTTCCACTGAATAGTACTTAATTTAATTTTATAATAGGTTAAGATGATTATTAGAAGCTGAAAAATAATTATAAAACGTAATAAAAGCGACGTTCTTAATTCTGAACAATCCTTTAATTACTTGTTTCAAATAGAAGTAATGACAGAAACACGACGCGTCGCGACGTTTGGAATTTCTTTTAAAAAGTTATTTTAAATTTATGATTTTATGACAACGTAAAATAGATACCACAGAAGACTAAATAAATTAAAACTTTACGGAACGCTATTCTCCTGATTTCTATAAAGTCAACTTTGCACTTAAGATGCTTTCTAATAAGAAAATGCGAAAGCATTATTTTTGTTTCCCGAAAACTTTACGGTTAATTGGAAAAATTCGTGATTTTCTTTAACTTATTTTCTTTCGACTCGGTAAACATTTAAAGTGTTTGGTTGGAGCTCGCTACAAGTTATTTCGTTTAACAAAAAAACAAGGAACAGAATCCCGCTAATAGATAAACTCACTTGGTTTAAAGTGGTTTGTTATCTAAACAACAATTGATTTTTGTTACAGATTTTCCCCAACATTCTTCATACGGCAAGCATGTGGCTGACGTTGGCACTTGCAGTGCAGAGGTACATTTACGTATGCCATGCGCCTTTAGCTAGGAAATTTTGTACCCTGCCTAACGTCTACAAGTGCTTGGGGTACATCATGTTTTTTGCAACCATGCACAACATATTGAGGTTCTTTGACCATGAATACGTTGCGGTAAGTAAAACAATATTTTATATTAGTATTCCTTTAATTGGTAAAACCGTTAACTACATAAGTTTTTTATAAAGTACCTACCGTGACTGCAAAAAAATACTAAACATTTAAACAGCGTAACGCGTCGCTAAGGGAAATTTGTTATTGATAAGGATTTTTCCTAATTGATAACGACTGATAAGAAAAAAAAAACAGAACACAACGTCCACATAACGTTGAACATTGGTCTTGCTGATTTTAAAGTGGTTTACCCCTCGGTTTGTTGCAGATTGCTATAAATAATTTTATACATTGTGTTTATCATATTCTTCTACTGGAATGTGCAATTAATGATTCAAGGTTTGTTAGCAACGCCAACAGTTATTAGATTGCGAAGAAATTGCGCCCTTAATAATAAATTTGATGAAATAATCAAACTCCAAGTCTGACCTGGTTCGCTCTTACGACAAAGACGACTGGTAATTTAGTATTTTTGTGTTTCAGGTTATTTAGTATGTTTTTGTTATGTACATATGTAATAAAAAATGTAATAAACTCGGTTAGTGGCCTTTCTAAACACATTTAATCAAAATTTGCCTGTAACAAACTCCTAATTAGTTAGTGTAGAAGATTATAACAATGATGTTATAATTCCATCTTAATAAACAGCTCCCACCGCAATAAACATTCAACAATACACAAGCGTTAGATTGTGCCTAGGCACGTATGAATAGACCTTAACACTGACGTCATATACCGTTGGTGACCTAACAGTAATTATGAAAAAAATATATAAAAAAAATTACCTACTACTTGTTTTTTGAAGAAAAACAAACATCACTTAGAACTGAAGTAATCACTTATGATACAGCCTTTATAAATATAAAATACATTTTAAGTTTATTATTTAAAAACATATTTTTTATTGCAGTTGTGTAAATGTAGTGAACAATAAAATTATAAGGTATAAAAGTTCCTTTAATTTAAGAATAACAGAAAGCAATTGTATTATTCCGATCTTTTTTCTTTTTAATGGTTGATATATATTTTACTTAAAATTGCGAGTTATAAGTATACTTAAAAAAATTATATAATTAACTTTAAAGCCATTGGTTTCTTTGTTTCCATTTTTAATTGTAATCAATATTAAATGTGTATGCACACGCACACTTTGGAGGCGTAAAAAGAAAAGATTAAGGAAACTTAATTTTAATATACAGGATGTCCCATAATTAGCGTGCAATACTTTAACAACAGATTCTACTTACAAAAGTAAGAAAAAAATTCCTATAAAAATAGGTCGAAAAATGCTTTCCAAGGGAGCTACAGCTCCCGAAAGAGGAGCGCCTGAAGATGGTTTTTATTTAATATCTCCAGAACCGTTTAAAATAGAAAAGTGAAATTTTGGGATTTAATCAAACTTTTTATGGCCAATAAGTTGAAATTATAACAAATTCAAAATTTTCATAAGGGGTGGGTCAGATAGATAAGGAGTGGGGGTAAAACTACCCTAATTTTTTTGTACGTAACTTGTGCTATGATTTGATATCAGATAATAACATTTCAGAGTTTTACACACAAAAAATGTCCTTTTGATGAACTTCGATAGCATGCACCGTTTTCGCTTAAAATCGATTTAAAAATTACCTTACCTAGCATAAAAATTCATAATGAAATCACAACTAGAGAAAAAGATTCAGCGTAGGCCATGGACAATTTTTAAACACCCTGGCACATATTACATGAAACTGTTACCTGTCTTAAATAATTTTTCCTAAAGATGTCAGCTGTGTTCCTTGGCCTTCGCTGAATTTTTCTCTCTTTTGAATTAATTATGATCTTTTATGCTATGTAAGGTAATTTTAAAATGGATTTTAACCGAAAACAGTGGATAATATCAAAGTTTAACAAGAGGACCTTTTATGTGTGTAAAATTCCGAAATTTTATAATCTGACATCAAATCCTAGCAAGAGGCACGTAAAAAAAGTTAGGGTGGTTTTAACCCCTATTCCCTATCTATCTGACCAACCCCTCATGGAAATTTTAAATTATTATTATTAAATATTATTGGCCATAAAATGTTTGATTAATTCCCAAAATTTTACTTTTATATCTTGAACGGTTTTGGATATATTAAATAAAAACCATCTTCAGGAGCTCCTCTTTTAGGGGCTGTAGTTCTTTTAAAAAGCATTTCTCGGCCTATGTTTATAGGAACTTTTTTTTCTTATATTTGTACGTAGAATCTGCTGTTAAAGTATTGCACCCTAATTATAGGACACCCTGTATAGATTAGTTACTTTAAAATCCACTACAGTTTATATTTAAAATATATTGTTTTCTAAACTATTATTGGATAAAAATGAATTAAATTATCGTTCCTGTTCAATAAGTTAAATAAAGTATGTAAAAAAAATATGTTTGGTCTCATAATGCATAGTTAAAACCTAACTTTTAATTATAAATCAATTTTTTTTTATTTTCTTAACAAATAGGTCCTTATACTTTTGTATTTCTCAGGCAATTTTTATTCGTATCAAAGTTAATAAACTCCATCCATTACTGGTATTGATCAATGATCATACCTTCTTATACAGAAAACTTATTTCTTGACGATGGATAAAGCTGTAAATTAAAGCTTTTTTACTTTTAAATTTACTCCTTCAATAATAAAAGCTGTGTGTTTAAATTAAAACTTTTGCAATTTTAGCGACAAAAGTTTCAAAAAATGGCGAATGCGCCGGGATTTTATAAGATTTTTTGTCTCCATAATTTTTTTTATTGACTACTTATAATTTTGATATAAAAATTATAATTTAACATATTTTATTATATTAAAGTTAGTAAGATTTTAAAATTGAAATATAAGCTTAGTTGTTTATGTGAGCTAATAAGCTATTTACTACGTGCAGGTAAATGTATCCTTAATCTGCAATAACATTCTTTAACCCATTTGATACGTAACAAGAGCAACTTAACCGTAAACAATCTTTATGTTAATATTTACAAGAAAACAAAAAATAAATAATTACACACGCCAACAAAAAACAAGTGGTATGCACCATGAATAATGCCATTATATTCCTATGTATTTTTGCCAGCTGAACTCAAAACTCTGTTTAGCCCCTACAGTTATCAAAAGAAAGCCCTTTTACAAAAAATAAATAATTTTTCTTAAAAATTTTCCTCGTTTTCTCATTAAAAGTTTTTTAACCAAATGTACAGGGTACTCAAAAATTAGGAAAATGTGAGAAGTTTAACTGCATTTTACGAAGAAATTAATTATTTATTATTTATTTCATTAAAAAATTAGATTCTCATAAAAAATTAATTAAATGTACAGGTTGCTTAAAAATTATTTATTATTTTAGTATATAGAAAAACTTAAAAAAAAATTTCATTGACATGTCATGACAGTTTAAATTAAAGTCTAAATACGAAATAAATGTTTTTATTTTAACATTTTATTTTATTTTATTTATTTATTTATTTGACAGGCTCACAAAAAAGGTGGTCTGCGCCATGAAAAGGGACCACTTTTAAATAAAAATAAACTAAATATTCCCGGTAGATGGAAAATTTACCAGTCTATCAACTACAATGTTTTTACCAAAATTAGAAGGCTACTGTATAATAAATATTCTATTGAATCCATTTACTTTTAGCTGGGGTTTAACATTATAAAATGGTAAATCTGTACATCTAAAAATAAATTAAACTAAATTCATTTGTTTTTAGAAACCAGGTTTTCTAGTCTTTGAGCTTGTAGGAATTAATAAATAATTATTACTTCTTCATTAAAATGTTTAGGGTTTCCTAATATTTCGCAGAAATTAATGTAAAATTTTGTCTGTGTAGTAATATGGATATCCAAATTCTTAAACAGGGTTCTTAGTGAAATAGTCACGTTTCCTAATTTAGCCCACTTAACCTTAAACAAGCTCTCGCATTTAAATTAAGCTCAACAAGGATTCAACATACATCTATTGAAAATAGCGCGAAAGTCTCGCGAATGCAATAAATTTGCTGAATATGTTAAGCAAAACCATTTTTGGATTCGAGAATTCTAGCTATGAAAATGTTTTCTTTAAATCAAAGCAACCAGTTTTGCCTGCAGAAATCCTGATGAATTTGTGTTATAATGTGCAAGGACTACATTTACATATTTTACATTTCTCCAGACATTAAAGGATTTGTTATCGATGACATTTTAATTTAAGCTCCGTTGACAGCCTCTTTAAATTCAGAATAAAGTTTATTATAAAAGTATTTCTATGCAAAGGATATCAATAAGTAAACATTGACATATTAATTGCTTTTTATTAAAAACAAAAGGGCATTTTAATAAGAATACACAACTGTGTCTCTTTAGAAATCAGAAAAGCAATTTATTTTTAAATAACATCCCAAGGTATAATATTCACATAAGATTTCTTTTAAACGAAGTAACAAAAAAATAAATTGTATAGAGACTTTTTTTAAAAGTAATTAAATGTAATAAAATAAAAAGGACAATTTATTTTAATCATACACCAATCGATTTTTTGTTATTTATATCATTACAACGCAAACAACATAGTATAGATATTTTATAAAGGGAATGTAATCAGCAAATAAGATATGTGGGTAAAGAAAATAGTCCAGACTACAGAAAAATTGACTTTTTTTATTTTGATGGATATGCCTGATCGATTAAAGCTTGTGCCACTACAACTCCAACATCCGTATCCATGCCTTAGCCTATCCTTGGTAGCAAAGCCCTACAAATACAAACTCTACATTACTTTATAGTCTTTACTATGTAGATTAAAAACATTTTGACATCGTCCGTCTTGAACTAGGAATCTTCCAGATGGTATTAAAAATATTGAAAAAATTTGAAAGGGAACAATTATTTCTCCTAAACATAGAAAGCAATAAAACTGATATATCGTATTTTCTGATTTGATTACGGTTTATTACCTAGTTCTTTTCATTATTCTCTATTAAATCTATTTTTGTATATTAATAGCAAATAATT